AAGCATAATGTGAGTCAGTTTCATGTATAATGTATTGTGTGAGCCTGTGTGATACAATGTAACCAATTCCACTTAGTGCAATTTGACTATAGCTAATACAGAATAATTGGAGTCAGTTTCTAGCATGCTCCAGTTTGAGTCAAATATGATATGGAAAAGAACTTGATACATAATAATATGAAGAGGAGAGACCATATAATGCAGTGAATGAATAGTTAATATGCTAGAATACAGAAGGCAATCTAATAGGTTATAATGTGATTAGGGGCCTAAATACTCTAATACGTAGACAAAAGCCTAATACATTATGAAAAAAATAGGAGACTATTAAAGAACAGTATAAATAATAGTACATAGCTGAACAAATCATAACACCAAATACTATAGTTTTTCCAAAAATAAGTGTACTGGGAGGAATATTTATTAGAAGATAAAACATGGCTCTTCAAGAAAACATTAAAATAAGGACTTTTTAGAGCCATTCTTCACATTTAAAAGTCTGTATAACAATGTACTGGGCAATCCTGATTCCTGTGCCAGAATACCGACTTTTATTAATTTTCTTTCTAGAAGATTAATAAAAGTAGTTATGACAGTTCTAACCCGTTTTATACCAGGAGTCACGATTTCACAATTTATTGTACTATACTAATGCAAACAGTGTAGTCTGAAGACCTACCTTTTCCAAGAGGTTAACAAAGTCAGATTAGTTAAAGAACAGCAGCATTTTACAGCAAGTACACAAACATTAACATGACAGATTGTATTTTAAGCAAACATCACTGGCTTTTTAACATATTCAGCTTCTGAAAAGAGCAGACATGTTTTAACTTTTTTTGACTTGTGAATGTGTTACATTTAAGTCCAGTAGCCATTAGTTTAATCAAATTTGATTATTTCTCTTCCTAACCCTTCATAGGGCTAACCTTGTGTACATGTGGAGAGCTCAGTTATGAGCACAAGATAATCAGTTCTGACTACAAGTTAAAGTCATCCCTAAGCAAACAGAAAACTATTCAGTTTAGCAATAAAGTTAAATAATTATTATTAGACTATGTGATGTGACTACAATGTGACTTTGAAATGACTGTAGTGTGATTAGAATAAAAATGTTATGTCTGTGATGTTTCTAGAAGGAGAAAAACGTCTGTGATGCCATACCGCTGTGACATGACTCGTGTCAGAAAAAATGCGTGCATTATTAATGAATACATAGGCACAGTATTTCAGGAGCAGAATATGTTATGCAAAATGCTAGTAGTTCTAATTATCTTCTTTATTAATAGTTGTACTGCTTTGTACTGTAATATGATGAAGGAATTAAATACTTAATTCTTTCACAGAAAATTCTTTCTAAATGTTTTGGCATTAAGGTTACTCTTTCTTGTCAATTCCTTGACTTTTGATGCTAGGGCTACAGCCATCCTTCCTGTATTACATAATGAACACTTTTCTTTATTATTAGATTAAGTTCTGTTTGCTCCCATTACTTAATGTCATCAAAATCAGAATCAATTATTTGTGTGTGTGTAATACAAACTTTTTGGACACAAATATAAAACAGAGTGACAGGAAGGTTTTATCTTTACACAGCATGTGATTATCGAGACTGCAGCGTTCATGCACGCTTATATCAGGAGTATCTGCACCAGTGTGACTACCAAGGGTGTTTATATATGTGACTGTGAGGATCAGGATGTACCCCCTACATATACAGTAAATGCCAATATTTAATTGAAAGCATTGGGTTTCTGTATTTGTACATAAATACACATATATGGAAACCTAATACACCAAGATAGAAGTCTACATATAATTGGTCAAAGATATGCAACTTAAAATGGGCACAGTATGTTTTCATGGTATGGTTTTAAGACCTGAAAATCTTATATTGATGCTATTCTTGTTTTTATATACATAGATTTGGTGGTCATAAACAATACCATAATTACTTATTGTGGCCATTTTAACCTGACTGTTAAGTTTTGTAGGTGTTAGATGATATGGTAGGTAAATTCAGGCTGAGAAAGGCTAGGGATTCAAAAAATATTCAGAATAAAGGTTTATTCATGCTGCAGATGTTGAAGAAATGCATTATGATCCTATCCTTGTGACACTTTTAAAGGTAATTAAGTGCAGAGTAGGTTATCATTTTATTATAGCACTGTCTTCCAGGCTGGATGGACAAAGTAAATGCGTCACTTACAGGCTAGAAGAGATTATTGTTTTTATTATTAATTAGACAATAATGAAGAATGTCTTTCTGTTCAATATTGCAGGGGATTAAAAAAAAAGGCATTTTCTTAGAAAATTCTCCTCTGAGCCTTCAGAAAGGAAAATGAGGAAGGTATACAGGAGTCAATGGGAAGCGAGACTGAGCTGGAGTCAGAGAAATCTGAATTATAGATGAAGAGGCATGTATTAAATATAAAGTTGAAACAAGTTGAGGAGGGCCAGGGAGCGATATTTTATACAGCGAGAGGAGAGATGCCGGCCGAAGAGAGCCCTCCAGCAACTCTGAGGGGGGAGTTTGACGCACAAGCAGCAGTACCCTGCACAGCACCGGCCTCCTGCAGTGTCGGAGCTAGGAGAGCGGTCAGAAGCGGTGCACGGTTGGGGGGCGGGGAAGTCTCCCCCTCCCCTGTTAAGAGCAGCTGCCCCCACCAAAGGAGACTGCTCCATGAGAACCTAAGGCAGCAGCTTTATCCGGGGGGCAGACTGGGCTTCTGCTCTCAGCCAATCCACCCCCGCTGCGGTTGCTGAAAAGGCTGCACCAGCTCACGCCATCCGGCACCCCTCATTCTCCCTCTCCGTCGCACTGGTGTGACTGGGGACCGGGGGGGCTCCCCGCTCCAACGCCGCGGCTAAAACGCATGAGGCCCCTCGCGTGGCTCCCCGCAGGCTAACTTGGGGCGTGCATACGCCGCTAAAGCCAGCAGAGAATACGCCGAGCGGAGGCCCCCGCCCCGGCACCCCGGGGCAGTTTAGCACCGTGCAGGGCAGTGCGGTCGACGGCCGCCCCTGTAATCTGGGGCCGCGCTCCCCTCCCTCGCATTGCAATCCAGGAGCACACAGCCACGTCCCGCCGGCAGCATGCACTGACTCCCCTGCCCACGTCTGGAAGGCAGCGGCGGCAGAAGCCTCCTCCCGCCTGACCGGCAGCGGCTCCGAGGGCTGAATCCAAAAGGTCCCGGCTCCCGCGCCATCCCCCCCGCGTCTCTCGCGCTCCAGTCAGCCACCGCCGCTGCCCGCAAACCTATTAACCATTCCGCGCGCCTGCTGCAAGCTCCGCTCACCCTCCTCCTCCTCTTCAGCTCCGCCTCCCCGCAGCCCCGGCTGCCCGACCGACGCGCCTGGCGGCCAATGCCAGGGCAGCACCGCTCCAGCCTCCACCCCTCCCGCTGCAGGCCAATCGGGTGCCACAGGAGGGGGGGCTTAGCAATGCTCACACCCTCCCTCTGGGCTTATTGAGAGTTATATCAAGAAATTTCAGTTCACAGAGAGAGAGAGAGAAGGAGAGAAAGAAAGAGACACTAGGAGGGAGAAGGGCAGGGGAAGCGCTGTAGCTTCCTTCCATCACTAAAGCAATAACCTATTAGGATTTTCTTTGGCACCTATCACCCCAGAGATGCAAAGAAGGAGAGAGAAGCCTCAACCAGCCCAACTCTGACATTTCTAATAAGAACTTACAGACTTAACATGCCTGCCTCTCTACACTGAGGAGACAGGAATGGAAAATGTGTGCAGTGTAGAGTGGAAAATACCCCTGATCTAAAGAAGTGCACTGGGTTTTGTGCTTGCTGGTTGGTTGTGGTGGTGTATGCACGTTAAGCACCAGAAGGATCGTCGCCGGATAGAAATGAAACGTGGAGAGGATGACTAACGACAGAACTGTGAATTTGTTCTCTGGAGTTGCTAATTTCCCACCCCGAAGCAACACATTTCGCAAAGAGCAAACGTTTGGCTGCTGCTGATTTCTCCAAAACTGGTGGTTTAGCAGATGCTTTGTGCTGTATGTGTTGGATCAGATCCTTGCTGAGCCGCAGCAGATCGGCAAAGGTACACAACCAGTGTAAGTGCAAAGTTACACATGCACCGTGCCTCTGATTTTTTTTTAAATACTAAATATATTTATCTAGGTAGAGAATCTGTGTTTCTGATTCAGTTGCTGTTCGTGGCAAAGGCTCACCTACTCGGCTGTCTCTGCATCCCTACCTGCATCACTCTGCTGGAAGTGATCACAGGCATCAGCTAGCGTGCAGCTTTAATGCAGATAAGATGTAGTGCTTAGGCGCTGACCAGTTCCACTAAAGTATGTAGATGCCTGGAGCCTTGCACCATTTAATTTGCGGTTAATAGAGCATTTCGGCAGAAGTCCTTTTTTTTTACCTGCATTATCAGTCTGCAGTATTTATGTGTGGCAGCCGCTAATAACATCCTGAGGGGAGATCAGTGTCAGTGGTAAAAGACTGCACCTTTCCCCCTCCTCCTGTGATCAGAACATATTTTTTCCTGCATGTTCTTTGCAAACATTTAGGTTGCTTCTAAGTTGCATTTTGAATCCCCAATCCCTCTGATTTAGAATGTTTTAAAAATCAAATAAAGTTTAACGTTATTAAACATAAGGTGAAGTAGCCAACATCTGGAGATGAGACACCGAGCTTACTGTGTAAGAAACTGTGAGTCCTGTTATTGTCTTTTTAGTTAATAGGGATGTGAAGTAGCCAGTGACGACTGCTGCTGCTGCAGCATGTCCGGGTGTTTATTTCCCTGTACGATAGCAATAGTGGGGGATGCAAGGCACCAGGAGGAAAGAAAAATCTAGGTTAGACAAAAAAAAAAAAAGCACGGAAGGAAACAACAAATTACGTTTGGCAGCTGACATTGCAGTTAGCACAGAATCCTAGAGAAGTACGGCAAGGTTTTTCACTGGCACCAAACGACTGGGTGGAGGGGGGAAAGCACATTACTGATTATTTCACCAAGTGCTAACAAACGATTTGGAAAGTACGTGTCGAAACTGTAGCTGCCTTTAGTACGGCAAGTAGTTAATTCCATTCTCGGTATGTGCAACTAACGGGATATTGGTGCATTCGTCCGGGATTGCTTGTAAAAGGGAGAAGCAGGGATATGTACAGCGTGCAAGTGTGCATTGCAAAAATGAGTAGTAGTTCTTGGTGGTTGTGGATTTGTTTTTTGTTTTTTTTGTGAAACAATAATGCTCGTCTGTGTGATTGTGTTGACAGTTGCTGTCTCCAAATAAGAAATGAGATGTAATGCATCCTGCAGTCCATGCACGCCTCCTCTTGCAAATCGTGCACCATTCCTCCGTGGAAACCTTTAAATCCTAAAATCCAGAAAAAGAGAATAAACACATTATCATGGACCTGAGGGATTTTTACCTGTTGGCTGCTCTGATTGCCTGTTTAAGGCTGGATTCAGCTATAGCTCAAGAACTTATTTACACTATTAGAGAGGAGCTGCCTGAAAATGTACCCATAGGAAACATACCAAAGGATCTGAACATTTCTCACATCAATGCTGCCACAGGGACCAGCACCAGCCTTGTCTACAGACTGGTTTCTAAAGCAGGGGATGCCCCTTTGGTCAAAGTGTCCAGCACCACCGGGGAAATCTTCACCACGTCTAATAAAATAGACAGAGAAAAACTCTGTGCTGGAGCCTCCTATGCTGAAGAAAATGAGTGTTTTTTTGAACTTGAAGTGGTGATTCTCCCCAATGACTTTTTTAGGCTGATCAAAATAAAAATCATTGTAAAAGATACCAATGACAATGCACCTATGTTTCCATCCCCTGTCATCAATATTTCCATACCTGAAAACACGTTGATCAACAGCCGCTTTCCAATTCCATCAGCAACTGATCCGGACATTGGTTTCAACGGTGTACAGCACTATGAACTGTTAAATGGGCAGAGTGTCTTTGGATTGGATATTGTTGAAACTCCGGAAGGAGAGAAATGGCCTCAACTGATCGTACAGCAAAACTTGGATAGAGAGCAGAAGGACACCTATGTGATGAAAATCAAAGTAGAGGATGGAGGAACCCCTCAGAAATCCAGCACAGCCATACTGCAAGTCACAGTAAGTGATGTCAATGATAACAGGCCAGTTTTCAAAGAGAGTCAGGTGGAGGTTCACATACCAGAGAATGCCCCAGTAGGCACCTCTGTAATTCAGCTTCATGCTACAGATGCAGATGTAGGAAGCAATGCAGAAATCAGATATATTTTTGGTGCCCAAGTTGCCCCTGCAACCAAAAGGCTCTTTGCTTTAAATAACACAACAGGGCTGATTACAGTGCAGAGGTCCTTAGATCGAGAAGAGACTGCTATTCACAAAGTGACAGTGCTGGCCAGTGACGGTAGCTCTACTCCTGCTCGGGCAACTGTTACCATCAACGTCACTGATGTAAATGATAACCCTCCTAACATAGACCTCAGGTACATTATAAGTCCCATCAATGGCACAGTATACTTATCTGAGAAAGATCCTGTCAATACAAAGATTGCCCTAATTACAGTTTCAGATAAGGACACTGATGTGAATGGCAAAGTGATCTGTTTTATTGAGAGAGAGGTCCCATTTCACTTGAAGGCAGTTTACGACAACCAGTATTTGTTAGAGACCTCTTCCTTGTTGGACTATGAGGGCACCAAAGAATTCAGCTTTAAAATTGTTGCCTCTGATTCTGGCAAGCCCAGTTTGAACCAGACTGCCCTGGTAAGAGTTAAACTGGAGGATGAAAATGACAACCCTCCAATTTTCAGCCAGCCTGTAATTGAGCTGTCAGTTTCTGAAAACAACCGTCGTGGTCTATACTTAACAACTATTAGTGCCACAGACGAAGACAGTGGGAAAAATGCAGACATTGTTTATCAGCTTGGCCCTAATGCCTCCTTTTTCGATCTGGATCGAAAGACGGGAGTTTTGACAGCCTCCAGAGTTTTTGACAGAGAAGAGCAAGAACGTTTCATTTTCACTGTAACAGCAAGGGACAACGGCACCCCTCCTCTGCAGAGTCAAGCGGCTGTAATTGTTACTGTGCTGGATGAAAATGACAACAGTCCCAAATTTACTCATAATCACTTTCAGTTTTTTGTATCTGAGAACTTACCAAAGTATAGCACTGTGGGAGTGATCACAGTGACCGATGCAGATGCAGGGGAAAATAAAGCAGTGACCCTTTCCATCCTGAATGATAATGAGAACTTTGTGCTGGATCCTTACTCTGGAGTTATAAAGTCCAATGTTTCTTTTGATCGAGAACAGCAGAGCTCGTACACCTTTGACGTCAAGGCCATTGATGGAGGACAACCTCCTCGCTCTTCTACAGCGAAAGTAACAATAAATGTCATGGACGTTAATGATAACAGCCCAGTTGTCATCTACCCACCTTCTAATACTTCTTTTAAGTTGGTGCCACTCTCAGCAATCCCAGGCTCTGTCGTAGCAGAAGTATTTGCTGTGGATATAGACACTGGAATGAATGCTGAACTTAAATATACAATTGTAAGTGGAAATAACAAAGGTTTATTTCGTATTGATCCAGTGACAGGTAATATTACTCTGGAAGAAAAACCAGCTCTTACTGATGTGGGGCTGCATCGTTTAGTGGTCAACATAAGTGACTTGGGTTATCCTAAATCCTTGCATACTCTTGTGCTTGTATTTTTGTATGTAAATGACACTGCTGGAAATGCCTCTTATATTTATGACTTGATACGTAGGACTATGGAAACACCCTTGGACCGGAACATAGGGGACAGTAGCCAACCCTATCAAAATGAGGACTATCTTACTATCATGATTGCTATAGTGGCAGGTGCTATGGTTGTGATAGTGGTGATATTTGTCACGGTTCTGGTTCGCTGTCGACATGCATCTAGGTTCAAAGCGGCACAAAGGAGCAAGCAAGGTGCTGAATGGATGTCTCCCAATCAGGAGAACAAACAGAACAAGAAAAAGAAAAGGAAGAAAAGGAAGTCTCCTAAAAGTTCTCTTTTGAACTTTGTTACCATTGAGGAGTCGAAACCTGATGATGCTGTTCATGAACCTATCAACGGGACAATAAGCCTTCCAGCTGAGCTGGAGGAGCAAAGTATAGGAAGATTTGACTGGGGCACAGCACCACCAACAACCTTTAAGCCTAACAGTCCTGATCTTGCTAAGCATTACAAATCTGCCTCTCCACAGTCTGCTTTTCATCTTAAACCTGACACTCCAGTATCAGTGAAAAAGCATCATGTGATTCAGGAACTTCCGTTGGACAACACCTTTGTTGGTGGTTGTGACACCCTTTCCAAACGCTCTTCCACTAGTTCAGATCACTTCAGTGCCTCAGAGTGCAGTTCCCAAGGAGGCTTCAAGACAAAGGGCCCCTTACACACCAGACAGGTAAATGAGCACTTTTACTGGTCTATAAGTACTGCATACAAGTGCCCAATCAACCAGTATTAAAGTGCCAGTATGTCTTTTGTTTAGGTCTACTTTTAGCTTGGTTATAATATGGAGAGAGAAAAAAACGACCACTTTACCATCTGTCTGGGGACTTGTAAAATGCCTCTGATATTTCACAGTTTTAAGAGTCACTGATTATTAAAAAGAACTACATGTGCACATATACACATGCATGCAAACACACACACACACACACACTCACATATCTGTGTGTGCATAAACAACAGATCAGAAATGGAAATAAATTGTTAAAAGCTAAATTGTTTTCCCAAGAGTGTCCCAGTGTAAAGGTTACTGAAGAAGAAAAACTGTGTTTTCTAATATGCCAAATTCCACTCAAAGAGAAAATTTGGCTGTTTCAGGATTAATGTGTTACTTTGGGGATATGTAAATTCACTTTTAAATTTCAAGTGAGGCTGGTTTGAGTGTCTTTTATATTTCAAACTAGTTTGGAATATTGTTAAGTTACTGTTGTTAAAGGGGTTCTTATTTTTTCACTTACAAAGATAGCAGACTTTCCAAGGAACTTCATCTGTGAAGCATATGGTTTGTTGGTAGGATATAACTAAGCCATAAGGAAGTCTTCCTTTGTTTTGATTTTTAATTATTTTGTTGTTATAAAGTAGGGGGTCTAATAGAAAGTTTTTTGCATATTTTAAAAAATGGCCAAAGTATACTTTCAAAAGGAATGCATTTGCTCTAAATACAACTTAATTATGCAGAAAAAATCAGCCCATTGTACATATTTTCTCATCTTAGTTATGCATAAGTGATCTGTCACAACTCATTTTAAACTGTGAAATATGCCATATGAAAAGGGATTAGAAGGCTGATAAACTCATATTTCAACCAAATCCAGCATTAGTTTTTCTTAGGTCTAATAATTCCTTGCTAATAAAGATTTAAATGCAGCGCTGTCTAATTTATTTCATTGATGCTTGTCTTTTGCCACTAAATTAGAATGTCAATATAGCCTGTAGATGGCACTAAGGTACTGTGTCGCTTGTGCTGGCCAGGTGCCAATCCTGCAGTAGATAGGAAATGGGGGAGGGAGGATCAAAGTAGTACTACAGCCAAAGAAACCTTTTGTTTAATCATAGTTGCACTGGAGCAACCAGTAGTTAAATTTACGGGTTTGCAAAGCAGCTTCTTAGTGCTTAGCTTTCACTGCACCAACTTTCTAAGGTTTAGCAATCAACTTCATATTACTGTAGGCATTGTAATCTTCAATATATGGTGATTTGTCTGAATTTATTAGGGGTCCACAAAGTACGAATCTTAGAGCAGCAGGCAAGGAACATTTAAACTTGTCTTTGCAAAAAAGATTTTGTCAGTAGCAAGTTTAGGACCAAGTAATTCCCTTGCTGTTGCATTAGCCTTATCTAAGATGAATGTGATGTTCCCCAAACCATGTCTTGACTTTTGGGTGTCTGTAAGGTGTCATACTAACAAGACACCTTGTTTAAAACAGGCACTTACAAGGCATCTGCTGTCTAGGTAACTACTCCAAAAACCCTCAATAGACTTGAAATGAGACACGGAAGAAACACTTAGAAAACTCTCCACACAAAAATCTGTCTTTCACAAGGACTTTAAAGCACTGTAAACTCTCAGAATGTTTTATGCACTACAGTAGCACTCCTGTCAGCATATTTTTTTTTAAAAATGCTGATTTAAAAACCTCCAGTGCAGAGCAGCTCTAGGTAATCTATGGTTGTTCAGATGAGGGAATACACTCTTCCCCCATTTAATTACAAATTTAAAAACCTCCTTCTTTGGTGTTCAGAGGTGCTGTTAATTTAACTTAAATTAACTTCCCATGTTCTGTTAAAAGAGTCGCTCTTAATCCCCTTCAGCCTCCCAAAGAAGTTAAAGGAAGTTAAGCTCACTAAAATGATTTACCTGATAGAATATGTCAGCACTGAACAGTGATGCTGAATGTGGGCAGAAAACCTACAGGCAACATTTTCACCTTATTTTTTGTTCTTTACATTAAACAAATGTTGCTTGAGTTTTAGTAATAATACCAGTCAGTATACTCACATTCTTGTAGTATGGACCTGATTCAAATCCTGTTGTAGGCAATGGAAAGATTCTCATTGACTTCCATGGATTTTGAATCAGTCTATAGAAGAGGTATAATGTTACATGGGACTGAAAATGCATCTATATTTTATTGTTCTTTTTATAGAAACAATTATTATAATTGAGCTTTTCCATTCATAAGCCTGATTTTTTAAAATAGATTTTCCAGTTGATCAGTGTTACAGGAACTAAGGTTTTTGACCTTATAACATTTTCTGATGGTTGAGTTCAGCCAACAGTGGCAGCATGAGTTAGCAGTCTGGTATTTCTCTATCTATGATCTCTAGAGTTAGGATGTATCTTTGCTACTGTTCCCTGTGATGATGCAGAAATTAAATATAGTTTCATAGGTATGGGTTGTTGGGTTTTTTAAAAGCCTTGTTGATATAGAGTATGTCCTTAAAGTAGAATATAACATTTTAAATAAAATCTTTCTTATAGAATGTTAGATGAAAATAATGTAAGATCTGAAATGCATTTTTTAAAGTCCTTTGTGAAAAAAGTGTTTAATTCTGTGCCATTGTACTGTTTTCTTGCATTTAGAATTGAAGATTTCTGTATTTTATGCTAAAAAGCTATAGCAAAGCGGTCACCTGCATCTTGTATAGAAAGTATTTCTTTCTGTAATTTGGAAAGGGTCCATGAAATGTTGCAGAGAATGTTGGAATAAAAAAGGGAGAAGGTTAGGGGAATACTTACTTGAGAAAAGTTATCATGATATATTTTCCGTTAAAAATGTTATTTGAGATTATTATCCATGATGAAAACACATATACATAGCATTAGGTACTGCTGATAAACTAAAATCCATGTATTCAGGCAAAACTCCCATTGACTTTAAGTCATCTGCTAGGACTGGGTCCCATAATAAAATCTTTCATTTTCAGAATACTTTGTTGAGCTTTAGCTATGTGATTGCCATTAAATCCAATGGGAATTGCTTGGCTAAACTTCTGTACACCACTTTGAATTATGCTGGTTGGTGTTTCAAAAAGTGCCCAGTATAAAAAACCAAAGCCCTCCCCAAGTGCCTATGATGCAGAACACCTGGTAGCTTCTCTGAGCAGAGCACTTTTGAATACTTGAACTTGGGAGTGTCTTTTCAGAGCTAATTAACATAATTAGGAGCACGAAAAGAATGTTCCCCACTGTCAGCTCTTGTTGCTCAGATTTTGTAGTCACTAATATGGCCCATGAATAATACTGAAATCTGTGCAGGGTGTTCCATCAGTGTTCATTTCAGTATTCAACTGAACAAAAACATTATCCAAAATATTGAGCCAATGCATCAAACAACTAAGTACAAAATACAGCAGAAGACAGCATGTTGCATTCTTGTATGTGAAAGGGTTTTCTTTTAGAAAAACCCTACTCAGTGCCATAATTTTAGCAATAGGATAAATGGTGAAATGATAGACAATGAAAGTCAAATCACCACGCTTTATTCCAATTTTACACTAATGTAACTCTGTTCCGACAAATTTGGAAGGAGTTACACCACTGTAAAACTGCAGTAACATAGGCCTAAAAACCTTACATTAATGTCAACGTGTAAGTTATGAGCAAAGACTTCAATTCATGAAAGCATTCCTATTCAGAATAGCACTTAAGTGTGTGCTTAACTTAAAGTGCATACATATATCCCATTGAAGTCAATGGATGTAAGCACAGGATCAGAGGTAGTCATCTGCTTAAATGTTGTCCTAAATAGGGATGGACTACAGTACACGCTTAAGTACTTTTCTGTATCTAGGCCAAAATTAAACCCTTTCGGAAATGTGTACAATTCCACTGAATTCAATCAAGGTAAACAAGCACTGACTTTGGCCCTACATTTTCAAGCACTCAAAAGACAGAAAATATAAAAATGTAAGGTTCTCATAGTAACCTTAACTTACACATTACTCATATTGCATATTAAAGTATATATTTGACTGCATAACAGTAATGCAACATATTCTGTGGGGCCAATTCTTTGCTCCTTATTCAGTCAATGGGAGTTGTGCCTGAGTAAGGAGTGAATATGAAGAATGAAGGCTCAGTATTATGAGTGAAGATCACTTAAGCTTGCTCTGTCAAATGTAATTTTTGGCATTCTTTGACTTTGGTGTGTTTAAAATTTTAACCTGAAGCCTTTGTATTTAGTTTCTCTATTTTTTAAGGAAAAAAAGATTAAAACACTAATGCATCTAATGTGTTCTTCCACAGTTGCAAAGTTGAAAGTGTGTGCAACTGTGGTAATCCACAGTGAAATAGCAGTACAGAATTTTTCATACCTTGTAAAGATTACCATTACGTATTCATAGCATTCCATAGTCCCGTAAATAGTATTGTTCTTAGTGGCAATTTGTTACTGCAGATGCGCAAAGTTGCATTTTCTATCAACTATAATTTCATTGTTTCAATTATTTATGCTTATGGTTATTTTATTTTTACATGTTAACCTGGACATTAGTCCATGGTGAGGACTAGCCACTGAGAGAACTTCAACATATAAAATTCAGCTGTTTTTGAGTTATGTATGTCTTAAAAAAACTGGAAATGCTGAAAAAGTACAATATATTTTTCCACCTTTGCATAGCTCAAAAATAGGATAACAGATTTTGCTCAAATGGCTAAAGAAATTTATCTTTGAGCTGAGACTAAGCATGGAAAATTTCAGCTGAAAAGGAGAGTTTTCCAGCAAGTTAAGAGCATGTGAAAATTCATGGTTATAATGGAAATTTGAACATAACCCTAAGCTATAATACTGTTTTCAATTGTAGCACTGTAAATGCTAAGCTATAATAAGGAACATTTTGTGTATACAGCTACGTACGTTAAAAGCCTAGCAAGCCTCCTTTCTCTTTAAA